CATGAGAACGGTGTTCCAGTGCGTTTCAGAAATGAACTCTTGTAGGAGCCGGTGAAGAGATTATTGGAGGGAGGGTCTATTCCAACATCGTGGACGAGTCTTGGATTTACACTGGTCCACCCCTCTTCCCCCTCCTCCCCCTCCGCCTCCTCCTCGTTTTCATCCTCCTCCCCCTCCCCTCCCCCTCCTCCTCATTATCCTTCCCCCCCCCTCTCCACCTCCTCCCCCTCCTCCTCCTCCTCCTTCTCCTCCTCCTCCTCCTCCTCCTCTTCCTCCTGACGATCCTCTGCGGCCCGCTCCCCCGCTCGAGGGAGACCAGGAGCGAGCTTCGCAACGATGATGTCTCCCGCGACAGGGCGCGGAGGAGAGCCTCTTGCCAGGCAACCCAGGGGCGGCGTGGGGGGGCTTCTCCCTCATCCCTCTTCCCACTCCTCGTGATCTTAATCCTCCTCCTCCACCTCCTCCGCCTACTCCGCCTCCTCCGCCTCCTCCGCCTCATCCTCCTCATCCTCCTTTTCCGCCTCCTTCTCCTCCTCCTCCTCCGCCTCCTCCTCGTCCTGTGCTCTACGGTCTAGGGTAGGGAGTACGCTAACGGGCCAAAGGCCTTCTAAGATCTCCAGTAACAAAGGTTCTGCAAGTGTCTGCATCTTACTATTTTTCGCAGGGGGGCGGCCCTAGCCTGGGATCCCCGGACGAAGCAAAAACATAAGACATTCGCGACAGTCCCGCCCAACTGCCGTCAAGCTATGTGCAGAGATGGGCCTCGTCCTGGGCGTAGCCTTCAGGGCCCTCAGGATCGTTCCAGGAACGCTCCACGCGGCCTGCAGGAGAGCCAAAGCGGGCCCGAGACGGCCCAGAGGCGCTCCATGACGTCCAGGATGGCTTCCTGAAGGTCCAAAGAGACCTCCAAAACGCCCCAAGAAGTTCCCCACGAGGGCACGAAAGTGCAGAGTTCATTGATGCTCGGCTTGTTTGAAAAAATTCAACGTTTTCGTTTTTCAAGCCTCCAACAGCCCAAACAGGGCCCAACAATTCTCCAACGTCGCCCAAGAAAGCCCAAAACCAGCTCCCAAGAAACAACCATCGGGCAACCATCGGGGCAACAGACCATCGGGACGACCATCGGGACAGCCAAGGGAACAACCGTCGGGACAATCATCGGGACAACCATTGGGACAACCGGGCCACAACCACATGACAACCATCGGGACAACATTGAGACAATCACCAGGAACCGAAAGACAAGGCACGACCATCGGCACAACCATCGTGACAGACATCTGGACAACCATCGGGACAACCAGGGGACAACCACAAGACATCCATCGGGACAACCATCGGGAACCGAACGACACGGCACGACCACCAGGCCAACCATCGACATAACCATCGGGACAACCATCGGGACACACATCGGGGCAACCATCGCCGAGACAGCCATTGAGACAACTATGGGGCAAACATCGAGACAACCATCGGGACTCGCAAAGCACGGGACAACCACTGGGACAACAACGGGACAACCACCGGCATGACATCGAGACCCCAATTGAAAAACCACGGGGCATCCGTTGCCATCGGGGAAACCATCGAGACAACTATTGAGACAACCGATGGGGCAACCATCAGGACAACCATCGGGACAACCATCAACACGGCCTTCAAGACAATCATCGGGGCAACCATGTGAGACAGCCACCGGGAAAACCATCATCACTGCCACCGGGAAATCCATCGAGGCAACCACAGGACAATCACAAGACAAACATCGGGCAATCATGGGGCGACCATGGGGCCATCCATCAAGATAACCATCGGGGCCCGCAAGAAACGGGACCGCCCCTTGGACGACCATGGACAACAACAGGTTCACTGCGGCGTCATAACATCGACACAACCGCGGGACGACCACGGGACATCCATGGACCATCGAGATCGCCATCACGTCCACAACCACCGGGGCTATCGGGACAACCATCCGGACAACCAGCGGAACAACCATCGGGTCACTCATTGAGCACAACAACAATCATGATCACCACCAAGACAACCATTTTGAGCAGGGGCCGACCGTTCCAGAGTTCGTATGGGCCTACCACGACATGTTTTCAAAACAACAAAACCTAAGCACTGGATGATTGAAGAACAATGTCTTTGCCATAAAATGTATAATCGACTTCCGTAGACAGCTCCGTGGTGGGCTTATAGGCAGCCCAGGACGCCTCGCCACTGCTTGACAATTGGAAACAACAATTGGGACATACATCGGGACAACCAGCTGGACAACCATCGGGATACCCGTCGGGGCAACCGCAGGACAAACGCAGAACAACCATCGGAACAAATCGGAACAACCACGGGACAACTACAACAAACCATGGAACAACCAAACACAACCCTTGGGACAACCATCGACACAGCCAGGAAGAATGTTTGCGTCGGCGGCTAGGCAGAATAACTGCGCTGGCGGAAGAACCAACTCGACGGGGTCACCTTTTTAGCGACTTGTGCCACAATGCGAGAAAGAAGGAGGACGGGGAGGGCGGACGGCCGACGGGGGGGGAAACAATGCGAAGGCCGCTCAGGGGGACGGCTCACGCCCGGAGCGAAGGGCGCGGCCGGCCCCGCCGGCGGGGACAGCGGCGGCGGCTGCGCCGGGATTCCAGCACTGGCGGGGCGCAGTGCAGGTACCAGAACAAGTCCAGCGGGTCAAATGTGCGATGCAATCAGGAGCCTGGGTCACCAGGCGGTGACTGCGCGTTCCCCATGTGGGGGCGTGGAGGGGGCGTGTCCAGCAAAATGCTGGGCCGGCGGAGGCGGCGGGCGGCAAGACCAAGCCCGGGGTCCCAGCGTGGCGGCTGCAAGCAGCCACCCGGCGCCATGGCGGCGCGCGGAGGGAAGGAAAGCGGCCATCGGGACAACCGCCAGACAACCATCGGGACAACCATCGGGACAGCGATTCAAGAAAACAGTTTTTCTTTCCTGGAAGAAACGCCCGGAGCAGCAGCGCAGCGCGGGGCAACGCGCGCCCGCAGACGCTCGTGGCACCGAATTGGGCCGCAGCGCGGGGGCTACGACGGCGCGGCCTGGCCCAGCCTGGCCAGGACGCGCGCCTTCAAGGCAGCCAGCCGCTCGGCAGCCGGTGGCGCCGAGGAAGGGCGCAGGGCGGCCGCGCGCGCCTCGCAAACCGCCTGCGTAGCAGCTGCGTCGGCAGCAGCCCGGGCCGCCGAGGCTGCGCGCGACGCGGCGGCATGCGCCCTGCACCCCCCGCGTGCCCGCGGAATCGGGCCCCGCCTCGCTGGCAAGGGGGCGGCAGGCGGCGCCGCCACCGGCGCTGCAGCCGCAGCCGGAGCCGCTGGCGGCCCACGCAGCGCCCGGGCGCTCGCGCGATCTGCCGCCTTCGGCCGCCGCCTGGCCGCGGCGTCGCGCTCGAGCACGCGCCGAGGGCGGCCGTCCAGCCCGAGCTCCACCCGCTCATGGTGGTTCGCCGCGTAGGTGACGGCCCCGAAGACAGCGGCCTCGTGCGCAACCAACTTCTCCGCGTCCAGGAGAAGGTGCTGAGCTGCGACGCGCTGCGGCGGGCAGCCGGCAGCCGCCTTGGCCACAGCATCGGCCAACCGATTGGCCCTCCAGTCCACCGCCGCGACCGCAATGCCATCGGATCGACGAGCCGTGCCGATCACAGCAGCCGTGCCGTGTGCTGGCATCCATGTGAACTTGCCTGACATAGCCAGCCCAGACACGTCGCCATCAAGGACGGTGGCCAGCCGTGACCAAACTTGGGCAAGCATCCTCGTGGGCTTGGTAGCTTGCACCGTTCCGGCTATGGCCGGTGACAAAATCGAGCGGCAGTCCGTGCGGATGGACGGCGGCACGATCGCGATAGACAGCACCAGGAGGACGGCCCAGAGCTCGGCAGCTGCCGCGGTTCGAATCCACGGCGGAAGCACAGCACTACCATACGCGACGAGGTCCCCGTCGGCCGACACGACGACGATGGCGCAGCCAGTGCGCCGCAATTCCCATTGCGGACCGTACTTCATGGACCCGTCCGTGTACCAGCAGAAGTCTGTGCGGCTCTCGTCTGGCGGGCCAAGATGCCACCGGACGGCAACCTCCTCCTGCGGCACGGGCCGCGGCAACCGGATAGCGAACAAACCTCGAGTCCGGAGAAGGTCAAGTCGGGCCTCCGGCAGCGACGAGACGAGACGGTCGCACTCCTCGGGCGGGTCGGGCCACCCTTCCGGGGGCAGCGAGGCCGCGCAAACACGGCGGTGCAGCAGAGTGCCAAGAACAGCGCCGCAGAGCTGGCAGCGTCGATCGACGAAGCCGTCGGTGTCCGGCAACTTCGCGATCCGGGTCTGCGGCCACTGCCCGCCCGTGGCTGCGGAGAGGAGCTGCGAGCGACAGCGCCCCGTCCACTGCGGCACCGTGCTGCAGGGTTTCCCGCGTCCTTTGAGGAGCAGCCCAATCGGGCGGTCCACGAGCAGCGTGAGCATCTCGGTCTGCGCCGGGGCGTGCACGTCGGGATCCCCAGCGATGAGAGTGGGGAGCGTGCTAGCCACTCTCCGGGTGCGCCACCTGGCCACAGATCTGCGCACCGCAGCGGCGACCATTGCGGGGGACATGAGAATGAAGTCCACAGGCTCGCCAAAGTCGTCGTAGAAGCACCGGGGAGATTCGCAGGTCCACCCAAGGCGCCAAGCAAAGGCGATAACACCGGCCACTGGACCCGTGACTGCAGACCACGGCGACACAACCGATATGAACAGGATCTGCACGCCGACGCAGTCCCGAAACAGCGCCCAAGACGGGTGCCTCACGTTGAAACCTCGATTTGCAAAGTGCCGAGCGCCATCACTAGAGTAATATCAGGCTCAACGGCATTTCACCGAAAGGACGTGTGCGCATAGCCACAGAACAAGCAATCGATTTTCTGCTCCACGCAAACGCACACGCTGGAAGAGCAGCGCCAACAGCAGCGCCAACAGAGGCCACATCGTGCACACTTGTGTGAAGGTTTCATGCAGTAGGGATCAGGGCAAGAAACCAAAACACTCATGCATAACTACATAATCAGCGGCGACAAATGCGTCACCGCGACCACACCGTGCCCGAGACCAGAAATGATCACCGGAAGAAGATGCAACGCCCATGGAAGACTACGATTCTCCATCTAAACTAATAGTAAGATCAGCCATCGTGCCCTTGAGCACGGAGTGGGCTTGTATTCATGTCCTTTGCCTCGTCCTCTAAGCCTCACTCCTCACTCATGAGGATTCTTTGAGGGACCCGGACCCCTCGCTCTCAGATCTCCCGGGGCTTCTCGCGTGCCCCCTGGGCACGGCATCTTCTCGCATGACTGTTTCAGGTCCAAGAGGACCTCAGGACGGGTCAAGATCTCACGAGACCCTCAAGACAGTCCAAGGGGGCCCCGAGACGCCAAAAGATCGCCCCAAGACGCCCAACATGGCCCCCAAATGGCCCAAGTGGTCTCCAAAAGCCCCAGGAGGCACCCAAGAGGCTTGCGAAGATGGCACCAATAGGCAAAAATCGCGCATGCCCCTTTGGGTGGTTGAACAATGTTTGCGTTCTCGCCTTGTCGGCTTCCCGACGCTCCAAGACGGCTCAAGACGGCCTAGTAGGCGCCCAAGAGGGCCCCAAGAGGGCCCCAAGACGACCCCAGGAGGGGGCTCCACCGGGGGGATCACGAATCGAAACTTCGAGCCTGCCGCCCCGAGAGAGCCCCCAACGGCCCCGAAAGGGCTCTCGCAGGCCCCGAGAAGCCCAAAAGAGGCCCACAGAGACCCCAGCATGGTCCCCAAGAGGCTTAAAACTGCCTCCGAAAGGCACCCGATAGGCCACCCACGAAATCCCAACGAACATCCATCGAGTAGGGGATCGGCTGCAGATTGATTTACACCAAAGATGCGGCGTCATTCCTGGTAAATTCGACGGGGAGATCAATGTAGGGGCAAATCAGTTCTGTAGTCGATCCTGTACTCGAACCCGCTAGCCTTCATACCCACAACCCAGGCACGGTGGCAGGATGGGCCGAAGAACATTCAATAGCCATGCTGTCGCCTCCAGATCCCGAGTAGCAGGCACACATTCCGCCCGAAACGAGACCTCAAACCTCTCCGACCATCCAGTGCTGTTACTCCGACGGTAGGACCCCGCATGAAAATGTTTGTAATTTGCCTGGGGATGTTCTCCTGCCCCCTCCCGTCTCCCACCTACTCCTGCCTCCTCCTTCTCCTCTTGCCTGCTCCTCCTCCTGCCTCAGGAAAGTCAAGATTTCGCGTGCGGTTTGTAGGCTGGCGGCCCGTTTGCTGCCCAAGTGGCCCGCCCTAGATCTCACGGGTGTCCACTTGAACCCCAGAGAGCCCCGCCAGAAGCCCGAGGGCCCCGAGACTTTTGAGCACGAACGGGAATGGCAGAAGTCATACTGGAGGTGCGCAGTATGCCTCAGGATACGTAGGCCCAACCCTGTTTTCGTTTTCGGAGAAAGCGATGCGCCGTCAACTGGAGGTTGCACGGGGAAGGTGCCTGAGCCGTTGCTACAGGTGGCCGCCAGAGGCCACATGTTGTTGAGTTTCGATTGCAGCGATCGATCTCAGTTGTTCATCTGTGTGAGGTGCAAAGCTATATCTACGTTGGGCCCCTAGCGCTGCTCGCTAAGGTTTGCAGGGCCCCATCGAGGAACAATCTAGAGCGTTGGAAGTATCGAGTGCTCAAGGGACGCCATCCCAAGATCGACGGAGTCGTGATTGAGGCGTCGCCAGAGGACTTGCAGGCGGTGGGCGAAGAAGTCCATCAGACAAGGCATTTTGCCGAGCAGGCTCCTGTTGTGGAGCCCCCTCGGGAGTGTGGCCAGCAGAGAAATCAAGTCGTCGACCTGTCGTCGTCGTCGGGTACCATCAGAGCTGCGGGCCACCTCGAAGGACCTTGTCTTTTGGCCCCACAAGATGGGCCTGGTGCAGTGCAGGACGCCATTCCCCACGAAGAGGGTGAGGCGTCCGAGCGATAGCAGTTGAGGCGTGTGTGCACGCTTATTCACCAAGAGGAGGACGCGGCTCCCTTGCAAGCTGCTCGTGTAAGCACCGAGGAGTCTGGTGACTCCGACTGACCTTTGGCGCCTTCTGTGTCCGCGCGGCCCGTCCCGCTCAGTCACCGCCAAAGGTTCTTTTACTGGCACCAACGTTGTGTCAGTCATGGCCGTGTCAAAAAAAAACCCCTCCTCCTCCTCCTCCTCCTCCTCCTCCTCCTCCTCCTCCTCCTCCTCCTCTTGCCTTCTCCACCACCTCCTCCTCCGTTTCCTCCTCCTCCTCCTTGTCCCTCTTCTTCCGTAGCCATTTTGGCTCAAGTCCGTAGCGGGAGGCTCTGAGGATTTGAGCGTGGCAAGGGGGAGGTGCGCTCCCACCAGTGATCCCTGGGCCGGTGTCCAGACTTTCTTTCTACATGCACGGCCTCACTGGCCATCCGTCACCGCACGCGGGGCCCACTGGCCCGTTTTTCCATTTGCGACGGTGAGCTCCTGGTGGAGCCCATGGGCAAGGATGCCAACAAGGGCCGCCTCTCGTGTACGTCCTGCCGCTATCACTGGAACTGGAGGTCGCGGTCGGAGTGCTTCATGTGTGGAGCAGCCCTTGTGCCCACCACGCCGCCGCGGCACCAGCAGAGGGCACAAGGTGTCTGGGCGCCAGGCAATGGTGGAGGGCAACCTGCCCGACCGCCTGGCTTTTGGGCCCCGCCCCGCATGGAGCCCCCCAAGGCGTCGACGCCGCCGCAAAAAGTCGCGAGCAAGCGATCGGTCTCCGCGCCGCCTTCGCAGCTGCAAGAACAAGTCGGTGAGGCGGCGGGGGCGCGGAAGTTGCAGGCGTTGGTTCAGGCCGTGGCACAGCTTGCGCAGCCTGCACGTGCGCCGCTGCTGGAGGAGACCATCCGCGCGAAAGGGGCGGCGTGCAGGCGGGCGGAGAAGGCCCTGGAGCAGGCGGTTCACCAGGAGGACGAGGCCCGAAAGTGGCTGGCTGAGCGCAGCAAGAAGACACAGCAAGCGGCAGTGGTTGCTGTTCAGGCCAAGTCTGAGTGGCAGGAGGAGCTCAAGGCCGAGCTGCAGAAGGCCAGGGGCGCGGGGTCGGCGGAGACTCGGTCGCGCTCGCCTTCGCAGGTGCCGACTGGCCCCCAGATCAACCTGTCGCAGCTGCTCGGGGACGAGAGTGGAATCGATGAGCTGACCTGGGACGGGGGTGAGCTGGACCTCCGCGACTTGGAAGTTGGCGAAGAGGATAAGCAGCGCTGGCGTGCACTCAAGAGCAGCATTGCGGTCGAGATCCAGAAGGCGGCGCGGGCGGCAATCGGGCCCAGCGCTGATGACATCCAGAGACTCAGGCAGGAGGCTCGGGAGATGCGGGATCGATTGGCGTCGAAGCGTCCGCGACACGAAGGCAGTGGAGGACCAGGAGATGGTGCCGCGAGATCCCGAGGCGAAGGCCCACAGGCGCCAGCGGCGGCCGCTGCTGCAGTGCCTGCCTGCTGCTCCCGTTGGTTATCCTGCTGCTGCTGCCGCGGCCCCTGGGAGTGCAGCAGGCCCAGCGGCCTGTGGCCCACCTCGGCCTGAAGACTTGCAAGCAGCGGTTGAGGCAGCCAGAACCAAACTCGCAGAGGACGGCCAGCAGCATATGTTGCCCGCCTGGGGCTGCGAATATGATCATGGGGCGGCCGCCGCCAGTGCTATGTGCCTGCGCCCCCAACGACAGGAGCAGCCTGGAGTTCGCGCAGGCAGTCGCAAGATGGAGTTCACGATGGGCCTGGGGCCTGTATAGGGAACAAGAGCTGGAGGGCCAGACTTGGCAACATATGTGCGATGAGTACCTCGTGAGCGTTTTGAATGAGGCCACCAGTGTTGGGTTGAAGAGGGCGCTGCTGAGGCGATTTGGCAGTGGTCTGAGGAGGGCTGGCGGCTGGGGGAGCCCAGGAGAGTTGGAGCAGGTGGCGACGGAGGTCTGCCAGGTGGCGTGGCGCGAGTCCAGGGCGAACGGGCAGGCCTTTCGCGACATGATGGGACCGCTCGCGGCACAAGTTTGGACGGCCTGGGCCGACCACCACTGGGGCGAGCTCACGAGGCTGCTGGATTTCTTCAGAGAGCAGAGGGATCGGAGACGGCAGGGCCTTCTTTCGGGGCGGGCGGCCCCTGGGGGGCCCATGGCAGGGCGGACCCTAAAGGGAAGCAGCGGAGCTTGGAACGAGGCCGCAGTCGCGCGGGTGGTCGATGCCCTCGATCAGCTCCAGCCTCCGCCCTGGGCTGCAGACGCGCAAGTGGTCGTTGCCCCAGGGCGGAGCGGCGCCCCCCCCCCCCACCCCCCCTCCGCGGCGCCCAGCCAGGGCGCGGGGCCTGGAGAGGCCCTGGATTGGAGACGGCAGAACCTGGTTTTTGTATGGTTTTCGGGGCTGGCGGCCCCTGGGGAGCCCATGGCAGGGCAAACCCTAAAAGGAGGCAGCGAGGCCGCAGACGCGCGGGCGGCCGAGGCCCTCGATCAGCTCCAGCCTCCGCCCTGGGCTGCAGACGCGCAAGTGGTCGATGCCCCAGGGCGGGGCGGCCCTCCCCCCACAGCGCCCAGCCGAGACACGATGCCTGGAAAGGTCATGAGGGGGCCCAGCGGAGGGCAGACCTCGAACGAGAACGGTCTTTTGGGCGAGGCCGCAGTCGGGCGGGTGGTCGGCGCCCTCGCCCAGGACCAGCCACTGCCCTGGGTCGCCCACGGGCGATCGGTCGCAGCCCCAGGGTGGCGCTGCTCTCGCGAGGGCGCCTCAGGGCGCACTGGCAGCGGCCTAGGGGGGCCCGCGGCCAGGCAGACCCTGGCCTGCAGGAGACCGACGGCAGACAATGGGATCGCGAAGGCATGGCAGAGAGCGGCGCCTGCCTCGCTTCCCCTTCCTCGCAATGGTGCAGGGAAGCAGCGATTGCAGTGCGCTGACCCCCGGGGTGCGCAGCAGCTAC